AGGGCGGCCGAAGCAGCACTTGTGGCGAACTATGTACCCGGCTGATGTTGTTGCGCCCTGTTTCCTTCCCTGCTGTATGCTATGCTCCTTTGTGTATGTCTTTTGTATTGCCTTCGGCCTCTGTGCTGTGTTTTTTTTTTTTTCATGTCCTCCCTGCCTACTCTGCTGTGTTGGGTACCGTGATCTCGCTTTTGCTGTTGCCTTTGGTTTTGTGTACATCTGGCTGTCTGCCCATCTGCCGCCTCTTTGTCCTGTTTGTTCCGTTACTCCCATGCCCTGGTGCGTAGTGCCTGGTGCTGGTACGTTACCCTTTTATTTTTTCATTAGGCGGGTGTAGGAAGCGTCCTCCTTTATTTTTGTTTTTGTTTCATTTCATTTTGATCGGTTTCCGAGGGCTCTTTTCTCGAACGGTCGGTGCGGTACCTGTTTTCTTTTTTTTTTTTGCCTTTATGATTTCGTTTTCTTTTTCCGAGTGATTTGCACCCTGTTTTTGTTTTGTTTCCCGGCGGCGTCGTATGTGCCGGGTTTTGAGACCACGGGCTCCCCATTTTTTGTGGACTATGGAGCTAATATAAGAAACAACAACAATATAATCTACCCTGTCACGTCGTTTTCCCAAAAAATTATCGAGATCCAAACGACCGTCTTACGGTTCCTCGAGCTATAGTTTTTTCTGAAGGGAAATAAGAGGCTGAGTTGTGTTGTTGTGAGTCACAACATGCTTCAGTTCACGCTTCAGTTCACGCTTTTGGCTCGTCTGCGACCAATAACACACCGAGCGCCATGTTTATGGGTCGCCTGAAGAGGGCATGTGTATAGTCGTACGCCAGTGGCTGCAGTTTGTGGACATCGGCGGCCAAAAGCCTCTCTCTGATGGCATGCGTTGTACACTGATCACACTCGACTCGGAGCAACCAGCAGAACAAAAAAGGCAACGTCCAAAAAAGTCAACCGCAACACACTTACTTTGGTTCACGTTTGCGGGCCATTTGCAATCAAAACTGGACAATACGCTCTGTTTCTGGCACGCGAGCAAAGGTTATGAGTATGACAACATGTTATTGGCTGCAGTTTGTGGATGTCGACGGCTTAATGCCTCTCTCTGGCGTGCGAACTGGATTGTTCACACATACCACAGCAGGCACAAAAAAAAACGGCTCTTTTCGGCCCAAAGGCAAGAACGTCAGCACTAAACTTTTAGTCAGCCTATCCCTGTGATCAGCGCTACCTCGCCCGGAAATTGCATCGGTACAAGAGGTTCATTGGCTTACTTTGCGGAGTCTTAAAGACTCTTTCTCTTCATACATCGGGCGCAAAGAAATTTATGCTCAATGAAGGGGAGTTTCGAACCCAGGACACTGGTTTCTGTTGAGGGTGAACCGGGCCGACTAGTAACCTAATGGTCATTGTGCTTTTCAACAAAAGCCAGTATCCGGGGTTCGAAACTCCGGCTGACCAGTAGTCTCGTGGTCACTGTGCATCTTAACAAAAGCCAGTGGCCGGGGTTCGAAACTACCCTTGAGTATAAATTTCCTTTGCCCCCGATGTATGAAGCGAAAGAGTCTTGAGACTTCGCAAAGTATGCCAATCAATGAACCTCTTGTTGTACCGATGCAATCTCCGGGCGAGATAGCGCTGATCACAGGGATAGGCTGACTAGCAGCCTAGTGGTCGTTGTGCTTCTCAACAATAATAGCCAGTGTCCGGGGTTCGAAACTCCCCTTGTTGAGCATAATTTCTTTGCGCCGATGTATGAGGAGAAAGAGTCCTTGAGACATCGCAAAGTAAGCCAATGAACCTCTTGTACCGATGCAATTTCCGGGCGAGATAACGCTGATCATAGGGAAGGCAACCCTGGGGGGACGTGTTCGTGGCTGCAAAGCCAGGTCGGACACGGACATTGACTTTTGTTGAGAAGTACAATGACCACCACTAGGCTACTACCAGTCAGCGCGGACTAGTAGCCTAGTGGCCGTTGTGATTCTCAACATACTGGCCTCTGTTTGGCAAGCAGAAGGTGCAGTTCCTCGTTCTGGCACGATCGGGGTGTGACCAGGGGGTACCCCCCCCCATTTCTAACAGCGATCCTGCTGGAACATCGCTGTTAGAAGATGGGCCAATTTTCTAACAGGACCGCCGGGATTCTTGGAAATATTCGGGCTGTGATAGTTTGGGCTGTTGGAAAATGTCATTGTCCTCCGCGTAAGCAGCCCAAATTATTTTTTGGGCTAAGAAAAGTATCTCCCCCCCAAATCCAACACCCCAAGAAATCAGAGCGTCAGAACCCGCCTAAGGGACGACAGCAGTAGTAATAAAACGGATGGAGAGGCTAGATACGGGCTGGCCCGATGTCTGTATGGGTCTGTGCGGTCTCTAACCATTCAAGTGACAGGACCCTGGGTGTCAAGAGGAATTGTCCACGGAGGATTGCACATGGGACCCCACCCTACAGGCACTGCTACCGACCTGATGGTAGCTGCCTCTCGATCGGTACCGAGTTCGGTAGATGAGCCGGAACAGGGGTAGAAGTGAGCCTCGAAGGTGGCTTGTGACAAGGAGTGGAAGGTCTCCGGTCGTGGATACGGTATTCCCTTGTTGATTATTGCTTACTCAGGGCAAGCAAGGAGAAGTAGTATGGAGAAGTGAGGTCAAGTGAAGGCAAGGGGACCGAGCAACCTAGCCTCTAGACGGGGCCCGACAAACCGGACCTTACTGCTAGTACCTGTTGGGAATAATGCATCCTCCCAAAGGTGCAACTCCTATCAACCGCAACAATGTTGTTGTTTTTCTTCACATTAACTCGTGTCAGTTGCTAATCCCAAAATCTAGCAAAAGACTCGGTCCGTGGTCACAAAAATACTAGAGCCATCAGAAGATCTGAAGAACACACACACTTTTTGCAAGGAAAGGGTACGCAAGCCCGAGGAGGTACACCTGCAATCCCTGCCGCACGTTTGCGTGCTCCCAACTGATTCAGAATACACGCCCACACACTACAAATCGGCTACAGCAGCAGCATCACCCCCCCTGCCCCGCATTTAACCAAAATGAATGTTTGTCGACTACTACAGCGTACTGCTGTCTGAAGTGCTGTCTGCACAATAATAACACCATAGTGCATGGTACACAAGCTCGGGGCATNAACACCATGGTGCATGGTACACAAGCTCGGGGCATGCAGCTGCTGTCTGAAGTGCTGTCAGAATGAGCCCGTGGACATACAATGAAGAAGAATGGCCAACCAAAGCCATCATTGCAATTGACAATCACCCGAATCAATCCAGATCAGCTGTGTTAGGCACAGCAGTGTAAACATCGACGCTGACTAGGAATCGTTCCACATTGAAGGGGTCTTCCACGATGCAGGTACACAATTAAGGCACCCGGGTTATCCGCGCCATCTCTGCCGCGTCTCTCTACAAAACCAGTGACGTCATCACACACACCCAACACCTGTATTCAGGAAAAAAAACGGAAAAATAATCGACAATACAAGAGATGTTTGTCCGTACGCCACGGTTCGATGCCGTCCGCCTGCTCCGGTTCCGCTGCTCCGGTGTCGCTGCTGTTGTGCCGCTGCTCCGGTGCCGCTGTGGCCAGTCCTAGCACGACCAAACTCGACCCGCTCCGCTCGTACACGCTCTCGTTGCTGTCCTTCCCAGTCGGTTCCTCGCTCTCCCCCTCGTCGCACTTAAGAGTTCATCTCGGTCTGAAGATTCTCGCGCCGAAGGGTCAACCAGCCCAATCAGCTCGTCGTCACCACCTGTCCCCTCCTCCTTTGATGGCAAAACCAGGTTACTGAGACAGTACAGCTCCCTCTGGCAAACCTAGGGCCGTGTACATAGTGCCCGTCCACCTTTCTGATGACGTCTGCCTCCGCGCACAAAGATGAGATGGGCATTGCTGCCTACACCGACGGCCTGGAGGCCCGCGCATCTGTACCTTTGTACCTGACGCACCAGTGCCGACCCAACTCCACCACTACGCACGCCTCGCGGCGGGTGCGCCGCAGCAAGAATGTATCGGTCCCTTGAGGGTGAATCTAGCCCTACTCGCTAGAAAGACCCCCCCCTCGCTATGGGTCATGCCTACGCAAAACCTTGCCGAGGCAGCGAGGGGAAGAAGGGAAGTAAATATTTAACCGTAGAAGTAATACCATAGACTACAACACCGCGTTCTTGTATTGAGACCAAGCAGCTGCAGGTTGCCATACACTCCTGAACACTTTGCATTTTGGATCCGTCCGCTTGTCTTCTTTTTCACACAGAGCGTTGTGCATCATCCTGATCGACAACCACACGTAGCAGCCCGTGCGGCTGCCACATGCACCAGAGAACATGAAGATGTGACGGATACAATTTTTTTTGGTACAATATCCCTTTGCGGAGCCCCCCCACAAGCCCCCCATCAGTGCCGCGGCCGCGTACCCCCTTCCATGTCGTGACACGCCTGGTTCCGCCGCACACTTGAGCAGCCGACCAAGACCACATCAGCACAGCTAGCACAAGAGGCGAGCGACGATCTCGATGGTCCAAGCAGTAGAACCAGGAAGGGCTCTCACAAGCTTCATAGTTTTGTCCGCCCTAGCGTCGCGTTTCTGCAGCGCATTTGTTGCTCCCCGGCTTGGTGAGAGAGGTTATCATGCACCCTCCTTTCGTCAACTCATGATGTGCAACGCGGTTTTGCGTGTTTTCGTTGTGTTGGAATACGTTGGCGGGTACATCCTCGCGTCTGCTGCAGGGTCGCATTGTTGGGCGTTCATTCCAGAAGGCATACAGCTACGGCGTGAAAAACACCTCGATCGCACTTACTGCACAAATGTTATGTTTTTTGTCGTATATTTTGCCCGGCGCGCACGCGGCGGTGCGCACCCTGTTGTAGATAACGGCAGCACTGCTGTGACAGCTGTAGGCTGTCGCAGCTGTCACTGCTGTCCCCAAGTGAAATGTACTGTAGTAAAAAGGACCTGTTCGCGTTTTGAAGTCCCATCCGTTGTTTGCCGTACGGTATAAGGGTTTACTCGGTAATTTTTCCACCGTGAAATCACCGCCGTGGTGGGCGGTCCCGGTAGTACGCCGTTTTTACGCCGTTTTTTGTTTTTTTACGCCTCCTCCGCCAAAGGCGTTACCCCCGATAAACGAGTTACCGCTTACATGTACCGCGAACATTTTCTGCCGCATGTCGTTACCGGCGAAAAATTGCCGCCAACATCCCGTGTTTCCGCCTCCACCAAAGTCGTAATCGCCAACAAATGCATTACCGCCTACCGCCCAAATATATACCGCCATACAGGTACGTTACCGCCGAACGATTGGCTGAGTGAGTCGAGGTCTAGTCTCGATTGCTGTACAACCACAGCCTGAATCAGGAGGTCGGGTTCACTTGTGGACGTACTTTTTTTTTTTTTCTTAATATGACACAACGAGTCCATCTCTATCATAGAAAAGAGTCATAGACAGATTAACAATGGAATCATAGCGTCAGAGAAAACTACCTGTATGTCTACGATTTCCCAGGCAGCATATAGGGACATCTTTTTGTTTTCCGGCCATATTTATTCCATGAAGCATCTGTTTCCTTCGGTTCTGGATTTTGGTTCTGGTTCGTTTTCGGGAGAACCATTGAATATGTTGAGTGGACAGTGGAGACTCTACAATGCGAAAGTCCACTGCGTCGAGTCGACTCTGCAATGCGAAAGTCGCTGGTGAAAACGACAAAACAACCCTATGGACGTGCGTGGTCAATCTCCGGAAAAACAGTGGTTTGCGGTCTGTTCGGGCGCGGGAACCTAGGACCGCAATTGTCGTGGTGTCGCTTGAAGTTGTGCCCATATGGAAACGGCAATCAGTACCGCCGTGAAATTATCGCAGTGGTGGGCGGTCCCGGTACTCCGCCGTTTTACCGCCATTTTTTGGCTTTATCGCCTCCGCCAAATTCGCTACCGCCAATACACGCGTTACCGCCGACCGCCAAAACGATCACCGCCGTGTGGCTTTACCGCTGAAGAATTTCCGCCAAAATTCTGTTTTGCGCCTCCGCCGAAGTGTTACGGCCGAAAATCGCACTACCGCCGTATGGCAATACCGCCGAAAACCTTTCCGCCGAAAAAAACTTTATCGAGTAAACCCTTGATATTTACCAACTCAATTCGAACAGCAGGTCTCTCGTTTACAACGGCGGGGTACCAACCAACCACCGCCCCGCTTGCACTAATAAATAATGGTACAAGTTGTACCTCACCAACCACTGCATCTCCACGTGCCCCCCCCTTGCTTGCCAAAGGAGGACCGGCACCCCTCCGTGCTTCCCTTCGTTGGAGCATCCCCAGAGTTGCTCGGGCCGCCGCAACCGCGAGCATCCCGCCGGTCAACGCTGGGAAACGGCCAACGTCGCTGGTGATGGCGGGAGAAGGCGGCAAGACGCGGGTCCTTTTCGTTTGCCTCGGCAACATTTGCAGAAGCCCTACGGCCGAAGCTGTTTTCAAACAGGTGACCTCCAAGGCAGGGGACGCAGACAAGTTCGAAATCGACTCGTGCGGGACCGGAGGAGGAAATCCAAGTTGGTGAGCGGGTGAAGGTGATCGGAGGGGTACCAGTAAACCTTGAGGGTACTGCTGTGTGTGCTATCCTGTACTCGTCCTGTAGCGACATTAAACATCAAGTCTGGCATTCAAACCCGTAGGGCAGCAGCGGGCAACCCAGGCTGGTGAAGGGGGAACGGGTAGAAGCGGCAGAGCGTGTCGCGCAACAGCAATGGTGCTGTAACAGCCAGCGACTGGTGCTTCGCTGTATTCTGTAAGACCGTGAGGATGGTGTTCAACATGGTGTGTGCCCGCTATCATCCATCCGCTCCCGCCATGCATGGCCGGAGGCTCTCGTATCCGAACAATGCCATGATGGCGAGAAGACGTCTTACGTGTCGCAAACCGCGAACACAGCAGCAGCAGCAGCAGCAGCAGCAGCCGTTGCGTTGACTTTCCGTCCATCAAACCTTCTCGCACTTGAAAGGTACAAAGAGGGCGGGGAGAGCTATCACACAGGGGATTCCCCGGATGCTCGAATGACGGCTGCCGCGGCAAAAAGAGGGGTGATGCTTAGCGGGGCCTCGCGGCCTCTGACTCCGGGTGATTTCGATAAGTTCGACCTCGTCGTGGGTATGGTGAGAGCCAGGGAAGGGGGAGGGGGATTAGAATTGTTGTACGTATTGTCGCAGAATAGGCAGTATGATTCCTAGGATATAGCTCTGGTGAAAGTAAGCTATGTGGAAATAGGTGTGTTCGTGTTCCGAAGATCTCAAAACGACGGCAATATGAGGCATGTTGTGCATGGCTGAGACTCAGGATCCCGTTCGCTCCATTTTTTGTTGTGGACAATTTTGACGAGAAGCTTAACCTGTCCGGGCTGTATCAAAAGATGAATGGGGGAGTAATCTTGGAGCGTTCATGCCACACGAGCCAGATGTTTAAGGGAGAGCATCGCTTGATATATTGCAAATGGTGTATGCGTCCATGTTTATGTCGCGAAGTAGGCCTGCTGCGGCAGAGTGCGAGCCAACGTCGAGGATGGTTGAGTGGCACTTCAACATTCCGTACTCATCTTGACCCTCCTTATCCTTGTTTTTTTTTTATAGATCCTGTTCCTTCTCTCTCGGCAGAAGCAACAGATATCTTCTTCTTGAACCCCTCTAGACCTTCCTCTTCCAGCGTATCACCTTCGTCAATTTCGAACTCCTTCCATACGTCATCTACAACCTTGACCCATTCTGTGGGTTGTCTACCCCTCTTGTTTGCCCACTTCTCCTCCCAAGTTATTCTCGGCAACCTCTCCTCTCCTATTTCGCCCATGCGGTACTGCTATTTTAGCTTCCCTGCACATCCTCCCGGTCGTTGGGTCTGGATCCCCAGTTCTACCCTGACGGCTGCATTACTTGTGGGCTTGGAGCATCTTAGGATGATTTTCGCTGCTCTCATCTGCGTCGCTTGGAGCTCTTTGACAACCATCATATTTCCTTCGCATACTTCTTCGGTTCACTCTAGCGGCGGTACGTGTGCGATCTTCAAAACTGTTAATTGATGCGTTTATCGAGGTGCCGGTTTGCGAGTATTGGGTGCAGCTTCCCTGCTCGTGCTTTGCGCCGTTCCGCTTGGACATATGCGCATTCCACAAGCACTCTTGTGCGATCTATTCTCAGAGATATGCGCACCGTTCCATTACCGGAAGCTCCTCGACCCCCCACTTCCATCTGTACTCTACTGGTTTTTCCCCGTCCTCGTTGCATATCATATCGGCACTCTTAAGGCTGGCAGACGATCTCCACATGTCAGCAGTAGGACGAGGGGGAGGGAGGCTTTGTTCCCCGAGGTGCTCTGAAACTCTCCCTCGTAGAAAACCAATCCGCCCTCCGTATCATCCGCAAACTCTCCCCCCGTTCCCAATCCTCGCGAAAATAGGATGAGGCGAACACCAAGGCGATGTCAACTGCCGCCGAGCACTGGGGCAAGAGCCAGGAGGCGATCTCGAAGCTGCGGACGATCACTTCCTACTGCAGGTCGAGCGGCGACGTGAAGAGCGTCCCGGACCCATACTACGGCGGACCTCAGGTCGGCAAGAGTGCTGGTGTATGCGGGGGTGAATAATAAAATCACTTGTGCGAGGAAATGTTTCGTTGGTGCTGGTGCCCGTGCTGCTGCTGTTGCTCTCGCTACCAAACTCTGCTGTTGAACCCGTTGCGAGGGAAAGTCTGCACAGCATTGCCTTCTTTTGTCACGATCGTGCGCTTCTTTTCAATTAGAAAGGAAACACGCAGAACAGATCACCGAGTTGCGCCTCTCACACATTTTATGACTGCTTTGGCAATGGGCTTGCGATGTGTTCACGTTGAACTTCGTCCGTTTGATCGCTTTTCTTCTCGTGAACGTTTCAAATGACCTGGGCCGGTGCTGCCTTATCCACGATTGTCGCATGTTGCCCCGGTGTTTAGTTGAGATCCTCATGGTTATTCTGACTGTGGTGTGGGTTCAAATCTCTCCGGTGGATTCTTGCTCCGGTGGAGTTCTTGCAATCGATACGTGATGTACACAACATTCAGTAACGACGACAGAGGGAAGGGACTGCTGATTGTAATATAAATTTGGTTTGAACGCAAGCACCGCAAGGGGAAAGATGGGAAGGAAGAACAAAGGACTTCTGCGTTTCTCTTCCTCCAGTAATACATCGGCTGGTGCTAGTGTGTGTTCCTCCCATCTATCGCGGCGCCGCAAGTCTACACACCTTTCAGTAAGCATGTTTTATGGGCCAGCCCAGGTCACGCAGGCCTTTCGCACAGGATCTCGTTTTTTTTGTGTATGGGACGAACATAGATATAAACACACCGCATGAAGCGACGCTGCGAAAACCACCGCCGTGCTCTCTACGGTGTAAAAACGTGTTGGAAACTGAAGACAATATTGTGTCAACATCGAACCTCATCGCATCAAAACCCAGGGTTTCGAGACCGTGCTGGATCTTTTGGACGACGCATGCCAGGGTCTGCTCGAGAAATGCCGCGCAGGGGAAGCGTGACGCCGACACATGATATACATAGCATATGTTTCAGAGGTTTGTCGTTTTCTGGGGGAGGGGGTTCGGGTGGAGGGGCTACCGTGCGAGCAGGGTGCTTGCCTCGGCGTTGACACACAGTTTCTGTGGTGGGTGCTCCGGGGCGAATGGACGGGACCCGAGTGAATCCACGTGGTCGCTGTTGGCATATGGTTATTCATCGTGCTGTTGACCTGCGCTTATGAGTGAAAGAGTCGACAGCATACGAGGGGTTTCATAAACCACTGTCCCATGAGAGAGGGTCCAACGCCACACGAGAGTAATATGGCACCACGGCTGTGTTTTTTCTCCTCATGGTCATAGTTTTCTATGCTTTTTTGTATCGCTCATTGTATGGAATCGGCGAAATGGGCCAATGCGGAGGTTGGGTACACGCTAATAGCAAGTCCATGAGGCGTCATGAAAGGTGTGGGTACATCGTCTCCTCCAGAGGGAAGCGTCTAGACAAGAATCGCTGAAAATTGCAATGGTGAGATGTGTGGGATGCAGCTAAGTAGATCGATGTTTTGCACAAGAGAGGAAAAACAAGCTGGGCAGAAAGTTGTGAACGCAGAAAAAGAAAACGCACAGCAAACTAGTATTCGCGTTTGGATATTCCTGGGAGAGGGCCGAAGGGTCTGTGTCATCGCTTCTGCATCTAACCGATGTTTTGCATGCTTCCTCAGGATTCCAAGCCAAAAGTCAAATTAGTGCACAAACCGCACCTCGTGCTAGGCACGTTTGAACGAGGTAAAGCTCACGGCGACAGACCACACACCACGCTCGAACGGCATGCCGCAAGGGCGTGCTGTCGTCGCTGAGAATTCGGGCAGTCGATGCGCTTGTCTCATGCGGCTTCTTGAGCTCGCTATACGAGGCTGTCAAACGCACGCGTGCGCGTAGCGGCATCGTATTCCCCAAAGGTGCTCCTCGCAGGGGGCTGCTACACATCCCATTCACTAAAAACCAAACATCTCAAGTGTTCGTGCGTAGCAGCAAGTCAGCGAATGATCCACAGGTCCCTGAAGGACAGGCTTTTCAAAGCTACAGGCCTCGCCAGTAGCTATGCCAGCGCTTTTGAATCCCTCCAGAACCGCGTGCAACTGCACTCCGGCCTGTACCGTGGCCCAGACGACAACCCAACCACGCAGCAGTAGAACGTGTCGATCTGGTCGGCAGAGACAAGGTCTGCTGCAGCGTCGATGGGTGGACACATGAAACCGGGATGGGCAAAAGGGTAGTAGGGTACGATTCGGAGGACTCCACCGAATGAAGCCCACATGGCTACCGGCACAAAGAATAGCCATACCAGGATGCAGTGACCTAAAGCAACCGACCTCCCTCCGGGCCTCTCCCCTGCGACCCAATCAACACCAACAACAGAGCAGGAGAGTTTTGAACAACCACTCGAGCGCGAGGAAGACACGCACTTTCTCCCAAATTCACCCATATCCATCAAAATCGTCAAGAAAAGACAGATTGTTCACCACACGGTCCGAAAAACTCTTTTCGTAAGTAATCAAGTCAACCGATCGAGTTTCCGCTGGCCCGCCCTCTACTGGCGTTGATCGAACGCAAATGATCAGATCATGCAAGATAGACGTCGATGACAAACCTTAAGGTGCTTTTACATGTGCGCCAACCGGAAGCTGTCGTCAGCAGCAGTGCGTGGCAAAATGTAAAAACCACGACGCCTGGCGACCGACAACAAAAGCGTAATGCACCGATAGCCCTAGCCCAGTGCCGGTCAGAAGTCCAGCATCATGCCCAGCATAACCCTTTCGATGTGTTGAGGCTCGACCTGGGGGGCGGTGAGACAACGCCGGGAGGCAATGAAAAGTACAGAACACCAGAGAGAAAAGGAACAAGGAATGAGCCTTTAGGTGTTGCGCTCCTTCCGGTTTGGAGGCGAACCGCAAACTAACGCCTCGGCACAAACTATCTGTGATTGAGAACTCACGGGCGCATCAAAATCGTCTTTATGTCACTCCTTCCCTCGTGCGACGAAAGTGAACCATGATGAAGAGTTGACCGTACGCCCTACGAGAGTAAAGCAAGCGTTAGAAGCTGAGAATCTGCGCCCGCCAACGAACGACATGGTCTGTTTGTCCCATGGGAGTCCGTCCTACTTGGTGCCGTGGCTGACGTGCATCGTTTCATGATGCAAGATTGTCGCTGGTGTGCAACTTCCCTGTTACCCATCTGTACTGATCGTGAGCGCAAAGGGAGACAACCCCATTCCAGTGTTAACGGAATTGCGGTCAGAGCGTACATGAGGCATAAAGAGTCACATAGGCCCGTCAAAATAGGGATACGTTGGGGAATCTAAATATGAGCACATAGTGAGTTGATATTGCTCTCGAAGATATACTACGCGTATGAAACTGGGTTCTTTATTGACAACGTGCGTCTCGGGGTTGCTTGATCAGCAGCAGGATAACTTGAAACGTAGACCCCGAGAAATGTGCAGTCGGAAGAACCGCACATGCGAGACAATGTTCCGGTGTCAACTTTGGGTGCTTATGAGTACACTCACGACGTACGAATGTACACACGACGGTACCTTGCACGGAACGAAAGACCTTACCGCTTCATCGCCGTCCAATTCAGCCTCAATCATTGCTCGATTGTGAGCCTCTGCACGCGCACGGAGTCCCGGGAGCCGTCGTACCACGCGGGTCCACACATGCCATTCGCACGGCATGGGGACGTGTCAAGGAAACGCCGATCCAATTAGCGTATGCCTTTGAAGAGATGCTTACCACCCGGGATCAAGCAACTTCCACTGAAGAAACTTAGACCCATTTGGTTTCTCACGGAATGCTGAAACGACCGTCGCCTCTGAAGATCATGTGCTCAGCGGGCCGGGCGCCGCAGTGGTGCAAAAGTAAAACTGGACATGACTTGTCATCGGCCAAGACAAACCCGGACGATTCTCGACGGAAAGAAAAAAACAGGTTTCTGGTGGCCAGGTCGTGAATAGCGGCGAAATTTCTGTACGTTTGATCGGCATCTGCCATGCACTCAGCGCGCATGGGGATTGATCGGCTGGCGCCGCCTAGCGCTGTTCGTGCCGCCGAGCCCAGGGTCACGTGTTGTCGTGGGGCAGACGCACACCGATAGAGCCGCGTCCGTGAACGATGGCTTCCTCTTCGATACGAGTAATGACAGTCGTGTGCGCAATAGGTGTAACGGTTGAATGTCGCGTATCGCCTCCATGACGAACAGGTGGAGGGCGGAAGTCGACCGTGTGGGGCACCGCCGCATTGGCGTCCTGCCTAACGCTTGGCGTCAGGTACAGCACGTGCTGCTTGTGCCTACGTATGCTTAGTACACGTCCTCAGAGAAAGGATGCAACCTGGAGAGCTTTTCGCGGTACCTCGGTACTCACCGATCACGAATAGGCGGAGGTACTCGGCCGTAAGCACTGCAGCATCCGGGTTGATCTTGGCACCATCGGCGGCCGGGTCCTTGTTCCAGTGCAGCTGTAGCAGCTTTTTCACCACAGTTGGGTGTATCCTCGCCTGCTGCGGCAAGTAGCACGAGTTCGGCAACCACAAAAGTGGGCACGAGCCGAAGAATAGTCGATTCACAAGCTGATCCAGCATCTGACGAGCATCTCGTTTTGCCGAGAATAAGTCAATCCGCCTTGCCTACAAGATGGTTGATGGCTACCCACTGGTGGCTACCGATGGTGAGTGGCCACCTGGAGTTTGGCCTCAAGTTCTTCACGCCAATAACAATACACTACCTTTTCGCGGGGTGAACTGATAGTTTGCGCCAGTGGTGCCCGTGGCGCAGGAAGTCATCCCCGAAGATGTTTTTCTAGAGACGTTCTTCTAGAGAACGGGAAAATCTGTCCGCTACCAGAGCGTTTCTGTGTGGTCAACACGTTGCCGTGCGTGCTCATAGGAACAGCTGACCGTGACACATTCGCACCAGGGGGCCACAAGCACGCTACAAAAAAACGGTCATGTGGCCCAGGCGTGCGCCGAACACGCGGGGCGGCGGCTAGGTATTCCGGGGATTCCCGGGAGGTTTGGTTTCCAGAAAACTGGACGCTCCGTAGAACAGGGTTGGGTGGGAGGAACCAATGTCATGGCCGGTTTTACTTCCCCCAGCCCCTACATCAGTGGGGTCACGTTTTTATAGAGAGAAAGACAGCTCCACACACGAACATGCACATCAAACGACATTTGAAGGATGCTCTTCTCGCCTAAATAGTGCGCGTGGTCGACACATCAAGCTAAGGAGAGCGTGCCTCTGTGCCTCTGAAGCAACTCCACGGCAGGACAGAGACTGCGGAAACCCCGGGGATAGTTATTTCTCGCCCCCGGTATTCGGACAAGTACCCGAGAGCCCGCGGGTAGTGAGAAAAGTCGATTTGCCTTGATACCCCGAGGGAGGGTGTTGGTTGAACAAGCTCTGATTGGATGCAATGAGGGTCAAACCACCAGTCCGCGCCGGCCCTGATCCAGTGATCCAGCCGTTAGAGTCCAAAGTCGGCAGTTTGTTCTGAATCGAGCCGCGGTCAAAAGGTTTGGCCATTCTGGGATTACAACCGAAACAGGATTCAGTTCCGCGCTGATGGCGATTTCAACCAGAGGCGATATGCGGTGTACAGTGTACAGCACCGCAGCCTCTCTTGCTCGAAGGATCGTGATGTTGAATTTGAGGATAGCCGCCATGTTCGACGACCATGCCGCTAGAGAGGAGGGAAGTCAACTTAGCAGTAGGTACATGCAAAGACAGCACTCTATCTGTACGTGTGTGCTCGGACAACATAGTGTTCCGCCGGTTGAGCGTGGTGGGTGTTCGTGGGTCTGCGGACGTTGTTGTTGGATACATGTGCTGGATGATTTTGTGTCACGCAGACTGGTAAGATAACCGTTTGGTAGGGGGCACCGCGATGATTCACGGGGCCCCTCCTTGCTGTAGGAGCCGCTCTTTAAGCACTCCCTCTTTCGTCCGTGTGAAGGACGGTCGTCGACCTCTCGTGAAGTTA